CAAGTAATGTCTTGTGAAATGAAAAGCTTCATGTTTTTAAGAATAAAATGAAGGCGTTTTAAAACTTCCAGCAATTGCTAAAATACAAGTTCATAATAATGCTTCCTCCAGTGAAAAAGTCATCTGGTCTGAATTAGGAGAGAAATATGCAAAGATCAAGCACTGTTTACAATTTATTGATTATGGACTTGTATTTTAGCTGGAAACGATTTAAAGTTTACTTCACGAGACATTAATTGATGGACTGGAGTGGAGAGAGAAGTTCACTCTTCCCATGAACAAACTAACTCATCTTTATATTATATGGACTGAGAGTGGGGACATTTTCAGCAATTTATTTATTTATTTTTTGGGCAAACTATTCCTTTAATTGTCGTACATTGTTTTTTTAAAAATACTTTTTATTTGCATTTGTAGTTCTGAATCGAATCCTCTTTTAAATGGGCAATATTGTGCATGTATCTGCACTTCGAATTCCACCAGAGACAATAGACCTTCTAAGTATCTTTGGGACAATCAATTCAACATTCGAATACTATTTTGGACAGATTGTTGGTGAATTTGGACGCACCGGAAATTCTTCAGGATTCTAGAAGCAGCAGTGAGAGCATTAGTTCTGATCGCACAAGAGCCCTTGGTCTGATATAAGCAGGATGTCTGTGCAGCTTAACCGCACGGCAGGGACCGCCAGAGATCAGTCGCTCTCTCTCTGTTCTGGTTCTATCTGTACTGGGGGATTCGAGAAGATTTCTGCTCTCATGAAAATCCCAGTGATTTTCGGACTGGATGTGCAGTGAGACTGGTGAGGTTCTGGGGTGACAGAGAAATACTGGGTCAACTGGATATAGACTGATTACAGGCTGACATTTCAGAGTTCAAAAAACAGCAAATGGGTCATTGTTGTTTATTTTACCACTTGGGGTAAGAGAAAAAAAAAGCAAAAAGATGACAGAATTTATATAACAGAAGGGCTGTATACAACCGTGCTATTACAGTATTGCATCAATTCTGTGGATTTATTTATTTATTCATTCATCTACATTAAGTTAGAAAATATCCCTTTGACTTAAAATATAATGTTCAAACTTTAACAGATAATTTAAATCAAAGGGAGATTTTCAAACTTAAAAGAGAATCTTCATAATTTAACACAATTTAAGTTTTAAAATATCACTCTGGTCTAAATTGTCAGCTATAGAGTTTTGTTTTAAATTTGAAAAATATTCTTTTGACTTAAAGTGTCAGTTAAAGTTTGAACATTCTGATTTTAAGTCTTAAAACTTAAAACAGAATGGTCAAACTCTAAGGGCCCTATTGTAACGGGGCTGACGAGACGTGAGACGTGTGGATCCATCTGCAAGCTGTTATTTAAGAGACGTGGTCAT